TAACAGTTTTGCAACCCTACTCAGTGTTGGTTTGCGAGTGGTTGCCAGTCTTTTTCAAATTGCGGAATGTTTCATGCAGCACTCGCCATACTGTATATTATAGCACATGGTAGCAGGGGAATTCAGCTAGGTAACAATAATGTCGACTTCTTACAAGAAATTCGCAAGCCTGAACATAACGTGGATAAGCCGCGCAGCCCAAAGTGGCAATGACATCCTTTGAACAGCACCAACATCAGACTCTACATTGAATCGCCTTGGCAATTTCTGATTGAGCCCTTCTCTATGCATTTCGTATCAAGCAACCGGTCTGAGGCGCAGCGAATTCATAATATATTAGGAGGAACACTGGTACGGTGCAGTCATAAGACGTTTTTTAAACGTAGGAATGTTACTTTTTCTTCCCACAGCTAGTCACGTAGCGTTAAATATCTGGACCTGCGAAGGTCAAGGTTAGAAATTGAATATCTAGACCTCACTATTTATCGCATAACAAATCCATTATCAAGCGAACATAGACACTGACGGCTCGCGGTTTGATTGTGTTTGGCTGCTGCTGGCAAACATGCGGGAACAGCCACAACATTATCAGCTCCCCGATAGCAATTTACATTCAGGATGAAAGTAATCATCATTATATATCCATCTAATGGACGGAGTTAAAGAAAAAAGCATATCCAACATTGGCTCCAAAGTGAAGAAGACAGTCAACATTTGAGCTTTCCACAACCATCGTCAAAATGTGTCTGGTTAGTAGAGAATCTCACGACGGCATGTAAAATTGCCTGTCCCCGAGAGCGCCGACGAGCGTTTGTCCGAATGTCGACCCAGGTTAACCTCAAGATCATGTATAGCGATAGCGCAATTTTAAATGGACTTCTTTCACACAACTGCCGTAAAGTTAGGGAGATTTTTCAAATGATGTCCGCTAAATCCAACTACCATGTTCTTATTAACTGCAAGAAAACATCCAAAGTGTCGAATATTTACCTTCAAGCACCCGTGTCAGTAAACTAGAAGGTGGTTGGATAGCAGAAAAGAACGTTTTCTACGTGTATAATATGCATAATAAATAGAAGCTAGGCTTCTGGGTTTGCATCAGTCTGCTAGTTTCCGGTTCTAGTGCTGAATGAGGTATAGTGATGGAATCTGCGGCCCTTAAGACTTTTTGACATCATCCAATCAGGAAGGGACGGCTGAAGACCACGAGGACTCTACCCACATTAAATTAATAAGATTATTTAAAAAAATTCTTTGCCATTCTGAAGCTCCTTTTCATCTGGCGTTAACGAAAAAAGATCACAGCGAATAAGACTTCGAGTGGGGAACAGTTTGTAAGTATAAGACAGGCAGTTTCAATTTTTGTCTGGTATGATGACGATCTGGGGAACCGGACTCAAAAGTTCACACAGTAAAAATTATTCTTTCCCAAAGGACTTTATCGTTACTAAAGCTTATTCATTTATTTACACATTTCTGTAGAATTTGCAAATTTTTGCAAAAGCGGCGGCCTGGAAGTGTTACCACCAAAAAGCACGTGAGACACTAATGTTGATCCTAGGCATATTTGCGCACAGACACACTTGATGTTCAAACAGAAATACACGGCACCACTCAATCTGTCAAACGAACTGTACTAAATTTCTTATGGTAGTAATTCAGGGCCAAGCGATAACCAAAACCGTTCTCTCTTATGAATCACCAGCTCCACTTGACAGAATTGCGGTAATCAGGTCAGGTCAGGTTTTATTAAAGGAAATATAGGTAAGTACCTTTGAACTCCCTATTGGTACAGAACAGTTATGCGATGCAATGGTTCAACAAAGCATTTCAAAAGAGTGGCGTTGCCAATAAATGGAATTGGGTAAAAAGGGCCGACAGTGAAAAAACTCCTTAGGCATTGTTAAGAAATTCTAGGGGTTTGAATGCTATTTAAGAGATTTTAAGGAGAATAACCGTCGCCCGTGGGGGGGGGGTGAGGGGGAGAGTATATTCAAGTCAAACGGCCTGTGCTGGAGCCCGTCGCAGTTTTTGTCATTTTCCTAGGGGGTCACACGAGGAGGAGAGTGTGAAGAACGCCATCGAGTGTCGGAGATGTGCCCATCGTACACCCTTGCTGGTTTA